ACATTCATAGCATATTTTATGTGGCTGAATGATCTGAGTAACCTAGGATTGTAAATCCTGACCGGGTCCTTAGATATGCCCTGACCCACTATCACTCCTTGCAAATGTACTTGTATATCTGCACTATACTAGTTGATGACTGAGATTAGGTGTTTATCAGTATCACTAGGTTGTCATCTTGAACACTACACAGGTCTCACTCTTGTGTTTGTGACCCTCACACGATCGATGCTGCTGCCGATCTGTTTTGTGAGTTACTTCTCTCCTTGGGGATTGAGGCAAAAAAGAAATCCAATGAAGAAACACGGGGGTATGAAACAGGTCATTTCAATCCCTCTTCTGCTCTGTGAGGCTCTAATGTTCATCAGAGGGAACGATGAGTGGAAAATTACCTCTGAGGGAGACAAGCATTGTTGAGTGCTGCAAGTGCAAGATGTAAGCATTGTTGCTATTTCTACTTAATACGTGAGACTCTTTCCTGGTATAAAAGGACAGATAGACTCCTGGAGCTACACTAACACAGGCAACATCCTCCGAGACCTAAAACGAACGGTTTCTCTATTTCTGGCGTGTCCCGACACTTCCTAACCCGAGAATAAAGGAGAGTGTGTCACCTGCGGCCCTCCCTTACCTCCCAGGGTGGCAGTAACCAAGAAGTGGGTCCCGTACTTCTTGATGAGGTTTTCATTGATTTGCTGCAGGGTTGGTCGTCGGCCCAGTAACCGCAGGTTGCGTAGGAACTCTGGTGCTAAGGGCAATGGAGATTTGAGGAAATCTCTCTTCTCCGTAGCCAGGCTGTTCACCTTCCAGTGGCTGAACTCCCTGAAATTATAAATACATGAAAAAGTGATTACATGCTCGAGCATTTTAGCATGATGTGGAATTACAGGCAACTGACTAGAATATACTGCTAAATATAATGACAGGAACATTTAAGGTTACAGTCATACATTTCTGAAGTGACTACAGAGAGAGAGTCTACTTATTGCACAATGGTCCCTGGGAAATCCTGATTTGTTCTTTCATTGTGAGATTGTCTTGACCATTATATGTTAAAAAAAAAAGGTCACAAAAAAAAGAAACGTCTGATCTATTCTTATCTGTAATGTGATCCTATTGGCCAACGTCATAAAGATCACAGACAAAGTGTTGTGGCGTGTTAACACTGTATGTATAAGAAACAGTCTGGTGTATGAATGTGTGAATGTATGAATAAAGTAAAGTACTCTGAATGGTCAAAAGTTTAGGAATTGTGATAGATAATGTGCAAATCTGTGACAAAATAAAGATATACATATTAGGGGTGCAACGATACT